CTTTGAAATGTAAGTAAAAACCTCGAAGGAATGTATAAACACCGAATTATTAATGACAGTAATATTATTTATAATGAATTTTCATCGAGCGTAGAAACACTACATTGACTACAACATAACATTATGCTGTTTTATTCAAATTCAAAGGGGTTTTCCAAAGACAGTGGAAACACTAAAGGCGGTTTCCTCTGCAGTCAAGTTTCAGTTTGAATTGCTTGAACATTCTTCTGTGAGGCCTCTTTTGACCAGACTTCACTCTTGTGGCTCCCAATCTCATGAATCGCCTATAAAGTAGAGTAATTTCATGTAGTGTGAAAACTTTGTTCATTTCCGTATGTATCCCACTTTTGTACGGTGATTCGGAAAGTTTGTAATTTTTGGCTTCTATTTCTGTTTTTGTCGGTTTGACCTGGCAGGCTGGCTGAGACCAGCTACCGAACGCATCTACCGACGCGGCAGACCGCACTCGCCGCAGTTGACTAGCTATAACTTCTATAAGTAAATAAAATAACAAATAGCTTCCTTGAATCAATAGGTTTTTGATTAGTTGAATATTCAACTGAAGTTTATCATTTTTGTAATTTTAAATTTTTGAGCACCAATTTAGAAATCAACTTTCAACAGTCAAAGCCTAGGTATTTCTTCAATGCCGAGTTTCGACACTAATATTCTAATTCTGGAAAATATTTTACCTGTAGCCTAGTCAGATGCATGTGCAACACTGCACTACAGCTACAAGTCTAGGCTACAACGAAATTGACTTGCCCTTTGCCAATAAAAATCTAATTATCTATAAGACTGGTTGTGGTCAGAGTTCTGATTTGTAGGGTTCAATTAGCCTACCACATATGACTAACAAGCTTTTCTGCTAGAAAGTTGTGACTTGATTATGTTTATGAAATAGATTTCTATTAAAGGCAGCAAGTGGCCTGTGCCCTGTGGCAACATAAAATAACACAGGTGCTGTAGCCAGTAGTCAGTGTAGCCTATGTCAGTAATGTCACTGTAGGTAGCCTATGTAGAGAAAAGTCAGTAGTAAAAGAAATATATTTAATTGACTGATTGACATTATTTTGGTTGAAAATGTCAATCAAAATGAAAATAAAATGTCAAAATGAAATTTTTCACAAAATAATGTAAGAACTATAAACAAAAAGACATACCTAGGTATTCTGTTTAGTGTGGGCCGCGCAGGATTGAATTTTTCTACTTGTCTATGAAATCTTGCGGCTCTAACGTGACATAATTTTAATACAATTGGAATCTCGCAGCCCGATTGTGCCTTTTTGTTAACAATTAGGCAGGAGGTAATTCATCTGACAGAAATCTTGTGGTTTTGGAAATGGCAGGAAAGTTCTAGTTGCGAACCTAAAGGTAGATGTTTTCCACGTTTCACTGTGGGGGGCTAAATCAAATTTGAACTGTAATTACAGGTTTTTATCCTTAATTTTAGGTAATAAGCTTAGAAGTTAGAGTTAGAACTTAGAAGTTAGAAAGATATGAATTGCATACTTGTTGACTTGATTGCAATTTGCAGTTACAAATGTTCCAAATTCCAATAATAAAAGCCTCAATCTATTGATTGCATTGCATTAGCATTTTGGTTTTAGAAAGTTGAGCAATACATTGCCAGCTTGCCTGGTATTGCAATACTATTTTTTTAACTGTTATAGGCACAGGCAGTTATGTTTGAATTGGGAGTTCTATATTCCAAGTTATTGGTAACAGAAATTTGTGTAAGAAATTATAGAACCAATGATGCTCATCATTTTTGATGGACAGTACAATTATACACTCTAGCATAACTACCAGTATAAACTTGTCAACACATTATCAAGCCATAGTGGGTGCCACCCACTATGGGCGTGCGTCTATGGCTGCCACTGGGTGGCAAACAAGATACTATTTTGTGGCCCTCAGTTCATTAGTTCTATAAGTAAACCAGTTAATATGGATACCAGTAGTGTCAGATCTATATTTTGTAAAATCTTTAAATTAACCAGTAAATTGGAAATAAACTGTCAATTGTCAAATAGTCTTGTTTACTAACATCATTATTTATAGTGCTATATCCAGGATCCTAAATGCCAAGGAATAAAGACTTGTACAATGTCTCTTCATTTCAAATCCAGTAAATAGTTATTTTGTTCCAATAAGCCCTTAGCATGATAAGTTTATCAACAATTTTGTAGTTATATATTAAAAAAATATCATTTCTCAAACCTTTGCCAATAAAAAATGTCTTCACTTTGAAATGTTAAGTGTCTAGTTATAGCATTCTAAGCTCTAAATATATCAACTGTAAAATGTTGATTTAATAAAATCATGGACAAGTTATATAGAGTAAATAATAAAGATTCTTTCTAATAAGTTTCAAACATTTAACTTGACAAAAATGCTAGTGACTGGATATAATTGATGAAGTAATGTCCAAAATAAATAGAGGATCAGTTTTGTATACCTTGCTAAATATTGCATTTCAAGTAAGTATGCATCTAGGTGTTGCAAATTATACTACATATATAAATGGTAAAAATTGTGAAAGAAACTATGAAAGTTGTGCTAATTAAAGTGCTTGCCAATTGCACTGACTATATATGCCATGCACATGAAAATGAAATCTTATTAAATAGGAATTCTTCAAATTCACTCATGTAGGGTCATGGAAACCCTAGGAGACCTTTGCATTGGTCACCTAGGCTATGCAGCTCTTAGTCTTATATTATACAAGAACCATCTTCCTAGAATAGTAGAATATATATACAGTATTTTAAATTAAGGAGATGAGTGTTTCCTAAGATATTATAATTTTTCTAGACTTGATAAAATTTGGAAGAAGATTCACATGCTTATTGAAAAGGGACCAAAGGATTGATATTTGTTATGTTGAAAGCTGTAACTTAAGCTCTAAAAAAAACTTTTTCATTTTTTTCCTTATATCCTTTGCAGAATTGCACTAAGTGCTGTGAAATTTCTACCAAATCTCATTAGTACTATTAGTGAATATATTATCCATATTTGCCAGGCTTTTATAGCTAGTAGTTTTTTGTCAGAAAGCTAAATTAAACAATACTGTTGAATTAGCATGTTAAAGAAATGTCAAAGTTGAAATCAATGTTTAAAATGAAGATTAGGTAAGGCTGACATAAAATAATTACAAAAAATTGGTCAAGATATTCCTCTAGCAATGATAACAAAAACTGCTTGAGCAGTGCCCAAAAATTTTGACATTGAAAAGCTCACTTAATGCATTTTGATATTAAGGAGATATCTGGTGGTAAATTTTAATTCCATTACATTAGGTCCTGACAGGTTGAGGGCCTGGTAATGCAAGGATAATTTTTTAATGGGTGGGTTTTTGTCTACCTCAGAGTGGCATGGGCTGTATATAGTGACTGTGACTAGTTATAGTCAAGTATTCACCTATTAATTTATCAGCTTTCATTTAGTAATCATGAATGATTTATCAGCTTTCATTCAGCAATCATCAAGAGTCAAGATAATTCTTGACTTTGTCCTCTCACTTGTTATCAAAGCCCCTGTTGCTGCCTCTGACAAAATTTCTGCAAATAATTCCAAATTGGTAAAGCATATACTTCACAAATAGGTCTCTTCTATTCAAATATTAAATTGTTATTCAAACTTCTTTCAAAAATTTCCACATTTAATAAAGACAATAAAAACGGAAAAATTATGTGCTTAATAGTTCATGATTTCTGAAAAACTTTTTCACATCACTTCATGTGTAAGATATTCTCAATTTTAACTTGAGAATTCCACCCTGCAGTGTAGCTGTTTCTGGCAAAGACATATTAATTATGCATTTAATCCAATTTTCAATGTGCCAAAATATATCTTGTCATTACCATGGTCAGGAAGATGTGCTTGATATAGGGAAATTGTGTTCTTGGTGTGTGGGAATTGTCTGGTTAAAATTGATTAAATTTAAAAAAAAGTCTGATGTCAGAAAATAAAACAAAGAAAAAAACTTATAAAAACCAGTTTTCTTAACGGACAAGAAAGAAAAACATTTACTCGTACATAACATTTAAGTTATGTAAAATGTTATGTAATGTCATGTAAGAGTAAATGTTTTTCTTTTTTGTCTGTTGAGAAAATGTGCTTTTTAAAAGTTTGTTTTATTTATTTTATTTCACTATTTTTAGTTTTGTAAAAACCAGAAAAATGTGGTTTTTAAAAATATTTTTATATATATTTATTTTCTACTTTTTAGTTAGCAATTTCAGCAATTCAAATCAATTTCCAGGGTTGGCAAGTGTGGATGTTCGAGAAAAAATTCAATTCTAAACTGTGAATTTGTAGTGTTTTTTTATTATTTTTTTTATATTTTTAAATTATTATTTCTGATGATCAAATCTTGAATTGTTAGGCAGCATAAACATGCATGCCAAATTTCAGCTTACTAGGATGTTTAGAAGTGCTCTTAATTAAGGTTTGAATTTTTGATGACACACACGAAACGAAGTCAAGAAAAATGTGGTAATGTGGTAATAAAATGTCCAGTGTGTGTGTAAAATTCATCAAAAATAAAATCTTTTCTTTGTCTGCCTTGTGAGCAGCATGCAATTCATCTCTTCATTCTTCAATAGAAGATAGGAATGTATGTAAAATATCTAAATCTTCTATAAGTTGAATTCTCCAGTGCAAAAGGATTTTTATTTAATGTAGATTCATGACATTGGTCTTCCCATTTACTACTTCAAACCATTATCTAGTCTTTTAGCCTCTGCTTTACTGACAAGCATTTCTTGAGATGTTTTGTCTTCACTAGGAGTTTCAGTAAGGAGAGGAAAAAAAATCATGCAACTGCATACGGAGTTAATGAAATGCAAAAATTTGTATAGCTAATTACATTCTGTAACTGTGAATTTTTAAATATATTATAATTTCCAATTGCATCATGACAAAGGCTAGTATTTTGGAATGAAATGCAGATATATGAATAATATATTTTATATGTAATATATGTATGATTTTTCAGATTTGATTTAACTTGATTATTATTTAGTTTTTATCAGTAATGAACTATACTTTCTTGAGTATTTGTATCTATAAATAGCAGTTGTTGCCAAGCGGACAATGTCGCTGTCATTGTCCATGCATTGCGATACCATGAGTGCTGCAGAGCCTCTGAAGGATTCTCCGCCGATGTCTGCTGATTCTGGATGCGAGACTTCCCCTCCTGATGCCAGCTCTGCTTACAATGGATCTGACGTAGTTGTCATCCAATATAGGACCGATGATAATGCGACCACGCTTGCTAACGACCATACGCTTAGCGGGGCTACAACGAATCATTACGTTGAACATGAACGAAATGAGTGCGATGCCAATACATTCATAGCATCAGCGTTCCCGAGCTACAATGAAGCGTTGCCAAGCTTCAATGCTGTGATGGAGAGTGGCTCTTCTACTGAGACTGGCTACGCGCAGGGGTTCTATGTTTATCCTTATGGATATTCTTATCCCTTCGTTGTAAATGATTACTTGGCTGGGTGCTATGAGTATCCCCCGTTCACTTATGCTTCTACAGAACACTTGGTACAGCCTGAAAATAATAAGGAAGGTTCTTATGAAACCGCCCAGTACCCCCGACAAAATGACAATATTTGGAATGCTCCCTCGCATCACGAACAAGCCTTCAGACCTAGATCCTCTAGCGTTATGGATCGGCAAGTTACTAGCTCACTAGCCCACGTTCAAAGGCGATTTTCGGTCCCTAACCATCGCGTGTTCGCTCGCAATGAGCTCGCCAGCAAGCACCGTTCTATGCCCTCAGGCGATTCTCAACGAACATTCACTTCGTCTCGCCGAGCATATGACGTGAACTTCCTCGACTACATGCCAGGCAGCTATGGAGACCGTCGTCACTCCGCGCCTCCGGATCAGTTTTGGTCTCGACGAAGACACTTGTCCTCAGAACCTCGAACTGAGCATGGGTTATTCCGTAACGAACGACACAGCAGCACCAGGACCGCAATGAGACGATTCAGCGTGGACTCGCATCAGAACTTCCAGGGTAGCGACAGAGCATTTGACAGCCGTTCGAACTTCACTCCCCCGATCAAACATGCCGCTGCTCGTGCGAAGCCAGTTTTGCAGCAGTACAACTGTTATCAACGTTTGGATTTGCCTCACGATTGTGTGGGAAAACCTCTCATTCTTTCGCCCGACCCGCGTTCCCCAAGGTAAAATTGTTAAGTGAAATATAGGTCAAGTTCAACGTTTTCTTTCATAACAGGTCATACATTCTTATTAATTTCATTGAAATATTAAATAAACTTTTATTCTTTACATTAATTTCCTTGCACGTTTTTTAAGACAGCTATCTGTGATCTAATTCATTCATGGCTTATGCGATAGGCTGCATTCACCGTAATTGTATTCTTTGGTTTCTGAGTTCTGTTTGATGTTGGAAATATCTACCTGGAGTTAGTTGTAAGTGCTTGTCTCGTACTTACTGCTCTGACTTGGTACTATAAAAGCTCGCTTAGGTACGCGTAGCGGTCGATTTCTCGCCTATGATTAGTATTATAGTGTAGTATCTTCTGCGTTGAAGAATATGTCTGTCGCCGATTCTTTCACTTTTCTTGACTAGTTCACAGTTATAAAATGCTAGCCTTCTAGATCTTTGGGCTTAGCTTGGAAACCGTCAGCGATTGGCTGACGGAGTTCGAACTTACAACTATTTTTTAATAATACGGCGCCTGACTTCTCAGGAGTGTGGAGTCACAGTGGCGAGCTCACATCAGTCTGCTGTTCCGCAACCTGCGAGAGACGTGGCTCATCACTCGCGCCCCCGACGGCTTCAGGCCTGGCGAGGATGGCTGGACGGTGTCCAAGGACTTCGCTAAAGTGCGCTTCTACTGTCCCGTTAGTAATCAAAATCTGAGCCTCGCCTCACTTTTTATGTTAATTTTTATTTTTGTTTACTAAGCCCGGCTTGTGCTGCGTCTGATTCAAATGAGGAATAACCTGTGAACAATCACAGGCTGGGCAATTCCAAAATGTAACAACAAACTATTTTGTGGAAGCAGCTTTCTTTTTTGGATGCTTTTCCATGTGGTTATTTTTCGTTCTTCCCCTGAGCATTATTCAGCAAGCCGCATTAATTCATAAAAAATATTGGTGAGTTGGAATCATTTGTTTGCCGCCAATTGTTGCGTTCATAGATCAATAAAAAAATCCTAGCATATAGATGTGAAGAGTACACTATTTTCGTCATAGATTATATTTCTTATCCATTGATGCAAGGAGCACAAAATTGGTAATGCTAAGAAGCGAGCTGTGATTATTATACTGTAATTTTTTGGTTCAGCCTACAAAAAGTATACGAAGAGCAGCAAAAATTGTTATTACAAGTGAGACGCGAGCTTCAATCTTCGACTAGAACAGGATTACTAAAATTCATTAATTCGTTTCCAAGTTGGGATAATATATTCATTATTAATGTTATGATCTGAAACCCCGCTCTTTAATCCATTCTTCAAATGATTTACGGCACTTTGTTATCAATCTGCACCAGACGGGTTCGATAGATAATTGCAATCCAATAATTCATTCTAAGCATAATTTGAATGTTTCGTGTTGTGCAGCGCTGTTGCGATGGCTGGACAAGTATGTACGGCCTGGTTGTATTCTATTTCCGCCGTAACCTGTTCACTAACGATGGAAGTGCTCAACCACGGCGACCTGCTACGCTGCCTACCCGCCACACCAACCAGTACTCGCAAGAGCATCAACCAGACCTCTCTGAAAACAACGAGCTTCGTGGAAGACTTCGCAACCCTAAGTATAACAAAGGCTCCATGAACTGCCCTCTCGAAAATGATGACTGCCTCTCAGCCTCTTCATGGGTTACTGATTCGAACGCATCTCTCGCGACTTCAGATGCACGCCGTTTTCATGAGACCCGAAGTACGGAAAAAATCTCTGGCGATGCATCGACCCGCGAGTTTGAAGAGGAAAACGATCGATACGGGTTTGGCTATCACCAAGAGGCGCAGAATGGTTCCGTGTCGAATAGTGGTAGTAGCGAGTACAAGAGAACTACGACTGACAGCCAACTTCACGGCAATGAAACTAACGTGGCCCGAAATGTAAGCCAACGTCTAGCGGACTCGCGTGGCTGGGGACAAATTCTCTATGAAGTTTCCGGTCAGAAGTGTGGCCGATGCAACCCTGAAATTTTCGAAATGCCACTTTGGTACGCTGACGAGGCACAAAAAGTGAGTACTTAGCTACAAATTTAATTATTTCATTCGAACGTAAGTCTTTTTTCGTATAACAATTTGAAAAAATATAGAATTTTCGTTATATGATGTGTTTAAATTATATGACGGAAAATGTGCGATTGAAAAATTAATTCTGATGTACGTCGCTTAATTCAAGATTGTATTGATTCTCATTCATAAACATTTTTCGATCACTACAAATAGAGCAAAGTCTGCTTCAAGTTCTTCAATTCTCACATTATTTTAGTTCACGTATCGAATTCGTTTTAGTTCACGTATCGTATCTCGAAAAAATATCTTCGACTTGGCTGTGTTTCTCTGAACAGATCAGTGGATTATTATCGTTCACATCAATATAAATGTCATTGTTTTTTTTCTACAGGTTATTACAAACTTGTACTACGCTGTAGCCCGCGAAATCTACGGGCTCTGCACTCCCAGACCCATCCGGACTCGCCGCCTCGGCCAGCCGGCTGTGTGCCACTATACCCAGCTGTGTCAAGGCTGCAGCACAGGGCAGTGCAAAGGAGATTTGTGCTCACTGGGCACGCCTAGCTTCTCTGATGACAATGCTCTGGTGGGTGCTACGAACAGCCTTGATAGTAGTCCTGTGCTTCCAGAACAGTCGAGAGGTGATGCTGTAGACTGGACAGCCCGCAGTAATCAAAGAAGCACCTACCCAGGATTGACGATGCCTAGCAACACTACTTCAGCCAATTCATTCACCACTCAGTCGGCGTCGACTTCAGTCATTCGTGAGCAAGTTTCGGCTCAAGTTTCTGAGTCGCTTACATTAGGCAGCGGCTACGAGACTGTTACTAATCCCGTTGTAGTTCCAAACGGCGAAGCGTATCACGTGAACTATGTTAATGCTTACAAACGCCCTTACGCGAGCGAATCTTCCAACTGCGCGTCTGCAAACCAAGGGTCTACTTTAGCAGACAACAGCCTCGACGAAGATAATGACAACCAGTTATCAAATCGTTTCGCAGGTTTGGAGGTGCAATCTGACGGGAACGTAGGTGGCCTGCTTACATACTGCTACCCACCGCCTTCGATGCCAGCCATGCAGTTCAATGCTCAGCTCTCGACTCAATACGTGACTCTGAATCATGAGCAATCTATTATTCCTGAAGCATTCGTGTCTGGATATCCTGTTCAATTCGCCCATCTTGCCGCGCCCATCGCTTTCCCTGCGCAAGTTCCAACCCAGCCAGATGCCGCGCACCCCACCGCCAGACCTCTTCATGGCCTTGTTTCACCTACTGGCGCTGAGGTAATGCCTTCTCTAGGCGTTGCGTCCGGGGCGATAAACGATGGAGGTTTCGTTTCGTATTCCGTTCGCGCCTGCCTTCCTTTGGCGGTTCCTGGAACTGTAGGTACTTACTCTGCATTTTAAAAATCAATGTTGCTGACTGGCGCTATGTTTAGAACGAGTAAGGCGCACGGAAAAAGTTTACATCTGACGCCGGCAGTTCAATGGAACATTAAGTTTTTTCTGAGTTTCGTTTGCCGTGTGTCAATTGGCAATAGTACGTAGCTTCGTTATTAGATTAGTTTTAGTGACGAGACCCTCGACGAAGGGTTCGGCTTCGTTTACATTGGACTCGTATAACCGATTTCCCATCGTTCATTTTACAGTTGAGTTACGTTCGTGACATTAGTAGAGTAGATGTTGAAGTTCGCACAATCTAACTCAAGTGGTTTAAAAAATGCTGATGCGCTACTCTAAAATATTTTCGGATAATCAACCTCAACCAAAGCTCCTTTCAAATGTATGCGTTGGCCTCGAGGACATTTTCAGTAAATATTGCGCTTCTTTTATGATATTACATCGGTCTAAGTTAAAGGCCATAATCTGTCATAATTTCGATGTGCACATCTGGTTTGTGGAAGGCGGCGCTTGTGTTAGAGTTAAATTTCATACTTTAGGCGAGACATAAGATCTAATTTGCATAATAAGTGGCATAATAATGCAATCGGGCATAATAATAGAATAGTTTAATATTTTATCCTCGTTGTCGGCACGATGATCGCTTTTCTCGTTCTACCTTTACCTTGACCGTTCTTATTCGTTTTAGTTAATAGTATTTTTAGCGCTCTGAGCGTTTTTTTTTTCCTGTCATACCTACTTGTATTTGCGCAGTTACTAAAAGTTCTTACTGTGGATGTTACTTTTTCTTCCTATTTTGTTCTGATGTTTTGTCATCTAGAGAAAGTTGCTTCTATTTAAAAATAACTTTTTTCTCTTAATCTCCTTCCATTTGAATTCTCGTTCGAAAAAAAAACTACCTCCCGAGATAATGATTCAAGCTATCCGCTACCAAGTTGAGATAAGATAAAGATATATAGCCATATCTTTCTCCAATCAATCTTCAGTATTTGCTACCTTTGAGAACTATTTATTTACAGTGTTAAAGTTTTCCAAGATGAAGCTCTTCTGCCCTACTGGAGCAACACAAGTTAGCATATCGCCGGATATTTTCCACAGTAGCCCAGCTGATTCCTAAATCCAGCCTGAAGCTTTGTAATAAAAACTGATCGCCTTTATTCAGGTTCATAAAGAATTAAGCTCCTCGTTACACTGACACTACTAGTCTAACACTTCGAAGCTCGTGCTGCAATTGTATTTCAGCTACAGCAATGCAACTAATGAATGCAACATTGCGATCATTCGACTGAACTCAGGCTAATTAAATGAAACGCAATGGACAGGTACTCGTATATTAAGACAAATCGTGGGACACAATTACGAAAGTGAATTGTTAGGTTCATTATTAGAAGTTACTCGTCTGAATAAAAAAATGCCACGTTGAGTTGCTACCACTCAGTAAATATAGCAGCTAAGCATAATTTAGCTTGACGAAAAACTTAGTACGAAGATGATCGTGGAATGAATCTACACTGACGATAAAACTTGTGGCATTTCAGCGCTTAACGGCCCTCGATGTAAGAAGACAAGTCCATCTCGTCTGGTAATTCAGTGATGCTCACATCAAACCGTTCTTGCACTTCATTCAGGGTCTTGGCATCCTTCTCTTCACTTACGAATGTCACGGCCAGGCCCTGAAAGGTAAGAATCACATAAATCATATGGGGTGTTTTGCAGGGCATTTTGATATCTACAACAAATTTTTCAGATAATAGCTGAAGATAGGTGTTAATTTAATATAAAGACGCCTACTCGCGAAGAACTCGCTGATTGAGTTAGTTGAACTATAGTATCACTGATACTCACTTTTGTACCGAAGCGTCCGGCGCGGGCGACGCGATGCAGGTATGTGTCGGAATCTTCAGGCATATCGTAGTTGAAGACGATGTTTACTCGCTCAATATCCATGCCACGGCCGAATAGATTCGTGGCAACCAATATACGCTGTACAAAAAATATTTATTTAATGCCAATGGAAAAAAAAATACAAATCCTGCTTACAAATTTAGTGCGGAGAATCAATTTCAAATCATTTTTCTAACATCGGTGGTATTCTAAAGCAAACAAAAACCGATGGATTTTAAAAGTTACAAGCATTATTAACAGACCTTTTGGAAGTCCTTGAACTGCTGATAGCGAGACAGGCGTTCTTCCTGGGTCATGGCCCTGTGAATGGCAATGGCTGGGAAGTTTTGGTCCACGAGGAGCTGAGCAAGAGCCATGCAGCGCTGGACACTCTTAACGAAGATCACCACCTGCAAATGAACGACATTAATATAGTATTAAATGCTCGGAGGCCAGAACATAGCTCCAGAAAAATTTTCTGATAGTTGCACGCAAGTAACACAAGGAAAACAGTACATATTTCCAAATTGAGTGCGTAAAAAAATATCGTTCAAGTATTTATTATTTGAAGTGTTTCAAATGGTACCCTCCAGATAAAAGATTGACAGCAAAATTTTTCTCTCTAACGTCGACAGGTTTGCAGATCATGTCGACTAATCTGTCCCATTATCGATCAATAATCACGGGTTCAACTTCTTTATAACTCAGGCGTTCGTGCATGGATGGTTTTGTCAAGCATAGAAAAAGTATATTAAATTTCGTCACGTACTACAATAGAATGTCTCGTATCGTTATGCTTCGCCTCGTTTTATTTCTCTCGGCAAGTTATTTCAACATCCGGCACAGTTTTCCGCGGTCTCGTGATTTCTTAGTGTAATTTCTCTTCTCGCTGTCTCGGTTCAATTAACAAAAATGAAAAAGACGCAGGAGTCTCTTAAAGGCATCGTTACCGATCAAGTACTCGCAGAGAACAATGCTACCATCATTCAAGAATGAACCCGCATCAAATACACAATACAATAATACAAATCATCACCTGATTGAACTCCAGAGCATCGAGGAGCTCGAAAAGCTTCCTGTTCTTCTCATTTTCCTTAATTTTGACGTAGTGTTGCTGGAGACCGTGCAGAGTAAGCTTAGCCTCATCGTCGACGTACACCTCCATGGGCTACAACGAAAGAAAGGCAACATATTCGTGCAATTAGAGAGTACTAACTTCAATTTCTCTGGAAAGAAAATTGAATGAAGCATATAAAGAGTTCAAGGTATTGACAATGGCAGTAATTAATTCTCTGTTGATAAGCCTCCCTGAAATTTCTTGCTGTAACTAATTATGTTTAAAATATATACGGAAAATTAAACCTTACTTCACAATTACCAAGCTCACAGAACTGCCGTCGTTAAGTTCAAACAAAATCCGTTACTCAAATGAGTTTCCACAAAACGAATCAGACAAAGCAAAGAACTTACGAGTACCGAAGTCGAGCAGTGATGAAAAAATGCACACGGATTGTTTCAAGGCGAGACAGGACGCGAGTAAATGTGGTGCTGAATAATCAACGTTTATGGCAACGAATTTCCGAGAAGAACGAGAACTGACGATAAGGTGTCGACAATAAAATAAATACTTGCTGGAAGTCAGCAAGTCACAAACGTTTCCACGATGAGAAACGGCCACAAACCCAGTTTAGGCGACCGTTATTAACAGCAGGAGTTTTGAAAACAGTCGATAAACTAGTCTAACAACAAAAGCCATGGCAATCCGAAAATGCAACATCAGGATCTCAGAACAAACGCAGCTCGTTATAAACCTTGATCCGATACAACCTCGTGATAAACCAGGATACAATATTACCTTAAAAAAAAATCGATACGAAACAGCTTTGTGAAAAAACGTTGCATATTGCCTCGCAATAAACCTCAATACAATACAGCCTCGCAATAAACCTCAATACAATACAGCCTCGCAATAAACCTAAATACAATATTGCCTCGCAATAAACCTCAATACAATACAGCCTCGCAATAAACCTCAATACAATACAGCCTCGCAATTAACCTCAATACAATACAGCCTCGCAATTATCCTAAATACAATACATCCTAGCAATTAACTTCAATACAATACAACCTCGCAATAAACCTCAATACAAAACAGCCTCCCAATAAACATCAATACAATACAGCCTCGCAATAAACCTCAATACAATACAATCTCACAATAAACATCATTACAATACAGCCCCGCAATAAACCTCAATACAATACAGCCTCGTAATAAAACCTTGATACAATACTGACTGGTAAAAATTGTCAATACAATACTGTCTCGAAATAAACCTGGATAGAATACAGCTTAGGACAAAAATATATTTGCAATATTGCCCCATATAAACCTTGATGCAGTAATAAATACTGAATAATGGCAGCTATACAACCAAGATGTTGAATTAAGCTTTTAAGTAAAGAATCAGGGAGTTGAGATGTTAATAATCGAAAATTATTTAATTCCCCAGCCAACTAAGATGAATATGCAGCCTATTCAGGTAAACAGCCAATTTTCACCATTTGTCTAGAATATATCAATGCTAAGACAATTGAGAGACTATTCTCCTGTATATCACTTGGCAATACGATAATCACTAGTAAGCATATTCGCAATTCCGAATTCTCATTTACAAACTATTTCAATGTATGAGTCTACCGATAACACAAGAGCTCTGTTCACTCAGTTCACTCCATCACGATGGCCTGGTTCTTCATATCCAAATGCTTTAACAAATAAGTCATCAGATTGACAGCAAAAAAAGCAGACCTCATCAACACACAAGCTCAACTAGTCGACAACTTCCACGAAACGACAACAAACCAAGAAAACAAACAAACCTAACCTATAGGGAGGCTAATATTCGTTGTAAATCTATTTTTTGATACCTAAGTACATACAATTGAGCCAATTAAATTTACCTATCCCACAATTAATACATTTATTGCCCAAAATACCAGAAAAACCTACCGTAATCTAGGTCTCATCTAATTTCACCTACAAACTCAGCAAGAAGCGTTGAACAAATATTATACGGCCACGTAAATGACATAAAATGCTAGATGCAAAACAGAAATGAGCAGCACTTTTAAAATTCTGCCAGCGAATTTAGACGCATAATATTTGTTTCAACAAACAGATGCAATGCCCAACACGAACACAACTGCAACACAATTTCCTGACCCGTAAGTGCTGACGTGAGCAAGGAACCCTCAAACCTGCAGGATGAGAGGCAGGCGTCATGTCAGTGGAGCAGCAGCTGCGACACTTCAGTAGATGCGGGGGCGTTCCAAAGAGCCGATGGCAAATCCAGTCATTGAGTCAATCGTTAACAGTCTTAAGTCATCGATGAGAGTGATGGTAAAGAATGAAATTGGACGTAATGAGTGTAGTTGAAGTGTCGATGTTACGATTATGAACGTGGTTAGTGTATAGGAGATGTAGTGGGATGATAGTTGGATACGAAGTGTCGTGACTATTAAGCCCGTTGTGATGGCTAGCCACTGTCGCATGAAGTGGTTGGTTCTTCAATGATGACTAAGAATATGGGGAAAGGTGTTGCAGACATTCAAATGATTCGCTTACCTTTCAAATAACTTAAGAACATGATATAAACGGAAGAGGTGGTGATCAAACGAGTGAAAAAATGAATAGGATAGAAATGAAGTGAATTGTTCGTGTTCAGCCAAAATGGAGTTTGATGGACTAGAGAGAGAGAGAGTACTTGAGCCGATGCCATATAGAGCAGCACTGGCTCGAACATACGGTGGACTGACACAATTATCGCCGTGTCGGTATTTAGTCTAATTCTCTACCGTTCGTTTTTATTTACATCGAGCATGAATTTCTTGCAAACAGCCCGAACTTCTTTGCTGAGAGTGGCGCTGAACATCATCACTTGTTTTTCGTGAGGGGTGTTGCGGAAAATTTCTTGTACGTCACGACGCATGTCTGAGAACAGAAGTTGAAACAACCATAATTTAGTAGCAACCAACAGTGAGAAGGAAAAATACACAGGAAAAAATTTGAAGAAGCTGTTAGTATAAGATTACATTTCATAAGTTTCGTTCCTCAGGCTGTTCTTGACTTGTCTTATAAAGTAAAAAAAAATGAAATTTCTGACAGGCCTAAAATTACACGAAGTGCGCTTCAAGCTTCACTAAGTAACTTGATCTTCAATAGAAACAAATCTTAACAAAATTGAGTACTCACCCAATTGTTCCAGCATTTTGTCGCACTCGTCAAGCACAAAGTGCTTCAGGTGCTTTAGATTGAGCTTCTTGGTCCTGACGAGGGCAAGGATACGGCCGGGAGTGCCGACGACGATGTGAGGGCAGTTGTTCTTGAGGGTCTCTTCATCCTTTGAGATGTTCATGCCACCAAAGAACACACCGACTTTAACGTTGCTCATGTACTTGCTGAAACGTTCGTACTCCTTGGCAATTTGGTATGCAAGTTCTCGGGTGTGGCACATGACCAAAGCTGATACCTGCAGAAATAGTGAGATACGTCAATGAGATACCTAGCAGAATACTAAACTAATAATCAGTATGAACGACGTAGTTGGTTGCGCTGAACAAGTTGAGAATGCCATGGTTTTGAAATAAAAAATTTTCTGTAATTGATCATAATACAAACTAGTGATTTCATAGTAGTCAATGAAAGAAGCAAACAAGATCATCCATTACGGCAATTTCATGTTTTCAGTATCTCTTACATAAACATGAGATAACGCTGCACAAACATAAGCTAGATTCTTCTGATTGCATAATTTCCATTTTATCCCCAATGATATGGCAGACTTACCTGTCCGTCAACTGGGTCAATCTGTTGGAGAGTTGCCAGAACAAACACGGCTGTCTTGCCCATACCAGACTTGGCCTGACCAAGGATGTCCATACCAAGTACAGCCTGAGGGATGCACTCGTGTTGCACTGGAATATAAAAATTATGCATCAGTCTCATTTATGAATTTAATATCAGCTTTCTGATTCACGATATTTTTCCCTTGGTCAAAAGAAATTGGCACGAATTTCAAAAGTAACATTGATGAAATAATTGCTATTTTGAGGTCATATCAAGAAGAAAAACTTTTGACAACAGAAATTAAAAAATGTCAAACAATCAGAGGAATGCTTCAGCTGACATTTCAAAACACACCTTCAGAAGGATGCTCAAAACCGCAATCCACAATAGCCTTCAGAATTTCAGGTTTCAGCAAGAAATCCCTGAAACCAGAAGAGTGGACTGACACATAGGTGCCTTTAACGTCTTTCTTGGCTGGAGCAGCTTCTCCATCAGCTGCTGCGGCCTCACCGGCTCCTGCCTCCACGGCATCCTCCTCCTCTTCGTAGTCGAGAAGTTCAGATTCTTGTTCAGCCATTGTTAATTCTGAAGAATACAATTGTCATGTTAATTAAAGAATTGTAAAAGAGCCCACATTGAATCAAGTAAAACAATGAAGAGAACATCTGTAATAGTATAAATGAAGAATTTTTCATTCGAGATTCTGAAACTTCTCCAATTGGTTTCTCCAGTTGAGACCTGCAATTTCTACATCATCTATTGTCATTAATTTGAGTTATTTTAGAGTGAAAATGTTTCAAGAAAGAAAACCATAGGAGTTTAAGGGGAGCGTCAGGGTAAAATAAACTTTTTTATTTACGGACGGATCATTTTTAAACTAGGCACACCACACATATGTTTTGAGCCAGAGTGCCAGAATTAAGGTCCTGCATGTATTGAATCGGGTTGGCGTCGACTTGGGAGAGATGAAAAGGCCTTACTGTCTGACGAGTTCAAGTTCAAAAACAGAATAGCTCTTTGTTTTTTTTTTCATGAAAGAAAATGTGAAATTCATAAAAAATGGCAATAAAGGGGAATACTGTAAAAATCTATCTCCTCATTCAATTATATGCTCCAACATCGATAGACATATCGTTTAATTTGTAAAGACCATATCTATCAGATCGACCGATTATTTTTAAAATTTTCTCTGATGTTTTTTTTTCTCTCTTCCCTTCACCCATTTTGTCAATATATAATCCAAACTGGAATGAAATCAAAAAGTGATTGGTGAATCACTAGATATTTTTTCTACAATTCAAATGGTATATTTTCAATGCTGTAGCTTGAAAATCATAGAAGATAGATTTTGAAGATGGCATAATTTGGAAATTTTAATTGCTAAGGGGAGCCCAATAAGTATAATTTATTGAAAAATAGAATAATATGCCAAAAAATTGCTAGATATTGTAGTCCAAACTATCACATTGCCAATAAGTTACATTTAAGGTACCAGCACACGTTTTTAAACTTATTCTTGTCCAGTTTAACAAGCTATAAATGTGATTCAAGTTCATAACAGACCAATGCAAAAAACATTGCATGTACATCTGTGGTATTTGCTTTTCTGTGCGTGCATTATTTGTAGCTTTCAAACAAGTGCAAAGACTTTGCAGTTAATGCAAATAATGATCTATAAATACAATTTTTTTACATGAAAATTTGTAAATATTGTTATAAAATGGTATTTAAAATATTTTGAAATTGCTGTACACAAAAACTTGAGCATGCACATACAACCGTTTTGCTGCGTTAGACGTGCCTTTTCAGCAGCTACAGAAAGAGCCAAGAAAATGGAAAAACCAAACAGATATTTTGACCCAGACACTCCCCTTAATATGAATATAAGATGGCAATAAGCAGAACCACTGGCCACTGGAATAGCCTAATCTATAGCCACTTTCCAGAACCCATTCTGGAAAATGGGGCAGAAGCCCCCTGGGAATAAGACAAAACATAGCAGCTCTGACAATGCTTGCAATTCATTTAATTTTCAAAAATTTCAGGGTGTAGAAAGTAGCGTAATATCTGCAGATCTTTGGCAATGCATCAGCGGCAAGATTCGCGCCTGCAGAAGATCTTGCCGCCACATTTGGTTTGAAAATATTGCATTTTAGGCATATGTAAATCTGTGGCAACTTTACTGGGGAACAGGAGGCACACCAGTGGCTGCATCATTTTCAAAATTGATGAGGCTGCAAGACACAATTCACCATGTTTATGAGGCTGCAAAACACAATCCACAATGTAATTTGGTAATTTTGGTTGCAATGCAATTGTCTACTGCAATACCTGGAGTGTTGAAGATACACTCACAGTTGGTTTTGTAAGAATTCTCGTGAGGAAAATATCTACTCTCTGAACTGTAACTGGATTTTTCAAGCCGTAGTTTAATAGATTTGCAAGCCGTGATTCCATTTCAAGCTGTGAATTCCATATCTCAGCCATCATCAGCCATGAAAAGCCATTTAAAAGCTGCAAACTCATTTACTAAGTCCTGTACATGGTGTTACCCCAAATCTCTAATTTTACCCAAGCAGCAACAGTAGTCTGATGTGATCACAACTATGCAATCTTCAACAAAACGTTTTGGGTTGACTAGTTGTCATGACTTTATGCAAGATGTTTTGGCAGGAGCGTTGAAGTACTGCAGAAGTCAAAAATTTTACGACATGATATCCTTGCAAAGTGAGAGCAGCAATTTTTTCAATTAAAAATAAATACATGACATTAGCCACAGCAGGGCTGGAAAAGTCCTATTTTTGTCTGAAATATCGCAGCTCTAATATCATATCATTTCAGTAGGTATGAAATCTCATAGAATGTCATAAATTTTTGTTTGATTAAAAAATCGCAGTTTGCACTTCGCAAACATATCACTTCATAAAATTTTCAACTTCCGCAATCCGTATTGCTTTACCGTTTCCGCCAAAATATCCTGCTGAAAAAACAAGCATCGTAATGTAAACAAATCGACTAGACGTTTTATTTAAGATTGTGCATAGTTGCAGTCCAGTCATGTCAAAGCGGTCAGACTGCAGTAACACATGCTCAACTTACAGTAAAGAGAAATTTTATATTTGCCATTCGACTATTTTAGGGTAAAATTAGAGATTTGGGGTAACACGTGCATGGACTTTGTAAATAAATTTGCGCCTCGTAAATGGCTTTTCATGGAAAAGATATGGAATTCACGGCTTGGTGAAATGGAATCACGGCTCAAAGAAATGGAATCGTGGCTGGCAAATCCATAAAACCACAGCTCGAAAAATTCAGTCGCGGCTCGCCACGTAGATATATTCCATGCCTGAGCTGCAGGATTTCATACCTACTAAAATTATATATTAGAACCATGATATTTCAGAAAAAATAGGACTTTTCCCAACTAGTAAGAATGTTGATGAAAATTATAGTTGCAACACATTTTGAAGACAGCTGGCAACATGGCAAGGTATCTTGAAGAATGAAGACTGCCAGCATCACAGTGATGCATCTGGAGTAGCTACTGTCTGTCACTGTCGGTGATGCTTTTGGTCTACAAATTAAAAAAATTGATGCATTCACCAAACTCTGCACCCAGCCATTTAACCCACTTTAAATTTAATAGCATTTGCCAGATTTCTTCACAATAAATAAAAAATTAGGCAAAATTTTGCCAGTCATTTTGGAAAATTGCCCAAAAATATTATATTATACCAATAATTAATAGAGAATTCTGACCAATATCCCAGATTGGTATGGATCAAATCATCAATGTAGACAGATGAAAATTCTAGTATAGGCCTACCTAGGCTAATTATACATTTTTTTTTTTACTTTCTATGGTTTGTTGATGGTGATTTGATAGCCTAGCTACCTGAAATTTTTTGATTAGGATAGCTAGCCTACTAGGTATCATTTTTTTCCTATCATTGCTGGTATCAAGTGATTTACATTCTAATATTAATTTTTAAAAATTAAAAAATCATACATACACCTACAAGGCTATACCTAAAATTTATAGCCTACAAATTTATAAGACAATCTTAAATTGATAATGACACAAAAAAGCAAAACGCAATTTAAATCAGCTTCATCAGTAGAACTTAGCCTAATTTTAGGTTACCATTTCAACATAACTTGGTATAAGTTAAAGAACCAATTTGGAAAACATGGCACATGGGGGGCTAGGGCGCAGTTGCTTTTCCATAGCTTCATGAACCAATTTACTAGTATACTAACAGGTAGTCAGGTACGTATCACGCTCACCGTAGTACACGGTTAGCATTCATAGTACGCACTACGCAGTACCTAACGTTAATCAAAAGCCATAGCATGATAGCATTAGCTAGGTCCTAGTAGCCTATAGCTAACCAATATGGCGTAGGAAATACGTACCTAAATGAAATCTTTATTTAAGCGCTTTTGAAATTTAAAGCAGCTAGAAAGCAAAACATTGTTTATAATGGTTAAATGTAATTTTGCACATCACAATATCATAATATTAAGTTTTTCAGTTTCAAACGAATTGCCTATTTCGATCCAACCGGCCTCCGAATGCTGGTATCCATAATCAAAATGGCTGTTCAAGTTTCAACGGTTGAACTGTTGATATTACATCTATATCCTTACATAACATGCGATTTTTACGATACTATAACGTACACAATAACAATAAACAAAAATTCACTCAATTAATGCACTTACATCAACGAAGTTCGTCAAAATTTACTAAAACTTGAGCTGCAGAAGACGGCAGAACTCTATCTCACTAGCGCCGGGTTGCTAAGAGTGTTGCCATAAGGCTTTGGTAGAACTTTCTCTCCAGATCACCGTTTACTGTTATTGCGAAATTGTTTCATTTGTTGGTGACGACGCACGACGCATGTAAAAAATATTGCCAACAATTCATTCAATTGGTACGGCAAAACAGCCCTATTTAATCATAGTCATCGTGCACTACAACAATCGTTATTATGTTTATTTCTTTCTAGCTACTAAATAGAAACAGCTTGACATAATGAGTAAAAATTTACAAAATTTATCCTGATATGTTTATCGTCAACATTCCTCCTCAATAGTGATAAGAGCATGAATTTATTAATTTCTAATTTTTGTTTATTTACGTTACGTTCGTCACATTCGATAGTGCTTGTATATATATGAAGTACTGCGAAATATATTATCTACGAATCGCATCTACATAGATTCTTATCTCTCATAAATAAACTCATTTTCTTTTTATTGTGTTTGGAACTGGTACGGTTTTATAACTTGACCCTTCAAAATCAACTCATTAGTTGAGGTATAAAAATGACCCCAATGACAGCCGAATCGAAGAGAATCAATCTTTGCTGACCGACCGGACCGGCGCATGCCTATTTTACACTCGATCGACAATTCTACGGACTCACCAGCGGACTCGCCTGCGGACTCGCGCAACTGGGCCGCTCATAATTCCTTCTTTTTATATGTAAAATTCTGTAATAATTCCTGCGGCAGCGTATCGATAATTGATACTCACATTCCAAAATTCATGCAGATCCGTTAAATATTGAAGGAATTATGAGCGGCCCAGTTGCTTAAAAAATACGTTTATTGGTTTTAATTAAAAAATAATTCATGTAAAAATCTGTAATAATTCCTGCGGCAGCGTATTGATAATTAATACTCATATTCCAAAATTCATGCAGATCCGTTAAGTATTGAAGGAATTATGAGCGGCCCAGTTGCGCGAGTCCGCATGCGAGTCCGCAGGCGGGTCCGTAAAATTGTCGATTGAGTCTATTTTACAACACTTCTCTTTAACTTCACTTCTTTTTTGTTTGTCTGTCTGTCTGCTTTGAATCTTATAATCGAAATTTAACACACTTCTTCTTATCCTATCGATCTGAAATTTTGCACACTTGCGTAAAGTTGGAGACAATGCAAGAATCAAATGACAAAACAAATGACTTTATAATTTTTTTTTATATTAAAGAAATTGAAAAAAATAATTTTGTCAGCTACAAGTCTTATAACTGATATTTGGCACACTTTTACTTGTCCAATTGATCTGAAATTTTGCACACTTGTGTGAAGTCGGAAGCAATGCATGAATCAATTGACAGAATAAATAATTTTGAAAAAATTTATATATTAAAAAATTGAAAAATTAATTTTTTTAATATTCGAAAATAAAATGAGAAATTCATTGTACATCTTTTACATTGGAGACACGTACTGGATTCTTTAGAAGTGTTGTCTTTCGTAATTTTTAAGCGTAAATTATTATTGCTTGTAATGTTGACTATGAGATACATAAACGTGAATTTGCATACAATTATTTAGTTCGATGTTGGAACTAATTTGACGATATGTTCATATTTTTGTGTATCAAATTAAATTTTTTAAATTAAAAAAAAAGTAGGCACGAAAATTTCTGATCTCTCGTGAATGACAGTAAATAAATGAATGCTAATTTTTTTATTCGCCGTGAGACTCGATAATTCAAACAAATTTTACTTTAACGAAAGAAAAACACTCATCTAGCATTCTTAACTGTACATCACATTTTTGACGATAAAGCAAATCGTCGAACTTCTACATGAAAGACACTATCAGCCTATCTAACCACTTTCCTTCCAAGAGCGTAGCTTGCCAAGAAGTGAAATTGATTCACCTTCGTGTACAGTTACATCGCGTATGCTAGAAACACATCCCCGTCTCCTAGTCACACCGAGAGATAGCGACGGTATTGCTAAGGTGTTAGCTGCCATCATCGCCGCTCTCCGAACTCTCCATTCTAACTGTATCCGAATCAGCGGTGGATTTCTCTCGGTCTCGAGTCCACGGTCATGGACGCTTCCGTGAACTTGAGAAAGGAATGTACTGGCTTAGAGCCTTGAGGTTTGAAACTTCGCACTCGTTCACACTTCCCGCAATGAAAAAAAATTTTATTGATTTGAATTGTTTATTCCTTACAATATCTTATCTTTTTTAAGTATTATTAGCCCATTGAAACCAGCAGATTATCTTTTCACGAAAGGCTGGAAAACGTTCTCTAACATTCATAAGCATTCGCAGTCGTGAAGAGAGATTCCTGTTCACTCTGTTTGGAAATTTAGTATACGAATATCCAAACATGTTAACCATATTTTATTATGTGATTTAAATTTTTTTATAACACAAAATTTCATTAAGAACATCACAAAATAAAAATCCCAAAATTTTTGATAATATAGTTGAAGCTCTAGATTCTAGAAGGTCATGTGGATGAAGAAGCCGAGTAAGCAATCCAGTTATATTTACCAATAAGTTTCTTTTTTTTCAAAATGAATTATCCTGGTATTACCGTTGTTAAAAAAGTGTTCCGTAATAATAATAATAATATATTCATCATTAAACAAGGATAGCGATGCTTGGACATTACAAATAATGACGGAGTGTCAAGAATTTAAAAGCGTAGAAAACAGCCAAAAAATTCACCATTTCTTATGAATGAAATCGTTTCGGAGTCAAGCATTTAGCGTTTTCTATCATAGGATGTGGTGAATTTTTCGGCTGTTTTCTTTTGAATTCTTGATAAACTTATGATTTAAGCAATAGAGTGATCTTAATTCTTATTATGGAGTGTAGCATGAGTTAAATATAATCATGGCATCGGCGGATGTGGCACAGGTAATTGAAGAGTACCCATGTCAGCTTGAAAAACAATGTTATTTATGTAATGTTGAACGAGAGCTTGCGTTTTCTTGTCGTACGTCTTCAATTTCATGGCAATATGTTCACCATAGATGTCAGAAGCAGTGCGATCGTTTGAGCGTTGGAAAACATTATAGTTGGGGTCAACGTGAGATAGACGATCAGTAGAAGGTGATTCTTTAGGCAGCTCGGTAGGATGAGGTTGCAAAAAATGCTCTTCGTTTAATGTAGCAGCTGGAAAAATTACGTTGTTTCTTTGCGGAGAAATAAGGAGCGTTTTAGAGTCTAGTGTTTCATCCATGAACAGCTCCCCTTCCATATCGCTTTTATCACCAGTTGCTAAGCCATCCGAAGTTACTAGGCCATCCGCAGTTGCTAAGCCATCCGTATCTTCTACCTGAAACACGAAGATAAAAGGAAAAGAGACGTCAGAAATTCACCATCTATATTCATTGAAAAAATTTCAGGGACGAGCTTTTTTATCAGTCCAATAAATGAATTGTTCGTATAACAAATTTCTCGTACCAAATTTATAAATTAGATTGCGAAAACCGATTTGGCAACACTAAATTTTCTAATTAAATATTAAAAAAACGATTTGAGAATGAAACCGCAAAAATTTAACTATACCGTAAGTGTTCTTTTAACCTCGTTGTCGCAAAAAAAGGGCATTTGACTCTAAAACGTTTTCAATGAAAAAATAGTGAATTTTGTTGGCATTTTTTCGCCGTTAAATTCTTTGTCAATTCGCTATAAATCAATCAAATATCATTTTATTTCAGTATTTTAAAAAAGTTAAAATGAACTTTTTATTTTTTTAAGTGCAATCGTGAACGCAACAATTGCCTCGACGGATTTGAACATAAAACTTTTGGAGCGAGCTTAACAATAAAATTAATTTTTAAAGTGATATTTATTCCTAGCCGTGTCTACTATATTATTTTTGTGAACGCTAGATGCCAAGGCAGAATTTCTGAAAGATAAATTTGTAAAACTTTACATCTGTAAAATGATAGCAAAATTAACGGCTTGAATCTGTCACGAGTTGCAAAAAAAATAAACGAACGTTATCTTAAAATTTGACGTTTCAGATTGAATGGCTGTTTGATAAAACAGTTTTTATAAGTTAATCAGTAATTATTTTTAGCTAGGTATATAGTCGAGTCTGAAGAATGATCGAAATGCTTCAGGCATTTCATCTTCAGTTTCCATATATTACAGAAACTTCGTCGAATTTATATTTTCTTCTGGGTGGAAAAAACACTTATGGAAAACACATTATAAACACATATGGAAATATAGTACATTATGCCTAGTAGTGCAGTAAATAACATCATAAATTGGTTTATAAAAAGTCTCAAGAGACCAACGACGAAACACACAATGGCATCTCATTTTAAATACTGAACCAAAGTACTGCATCAAGTACGCAACCAAATCATTACGCATTACAAAGCAGTTAAATATGGAACCAAAGCTTTACATAACATAATTACTAAAAATGCTCACATGCGAATTAGCTTTTTGAAGAGAGTTAGGAGAGGCATGACATGAGGAGCTCAGGGTTTGTTTTTTCATGATTTTCTCCTTGATAAATCTCATGGCCTCGTAGGCAAACCACTTGCTGTTGTACACATCGTCTTGACCTGTCAACAAAAACAAAGTATAATTACGAACCTATTTCATCACTAACAGGTAACAATTCATATTCTAAAAAATGTATTTCATATAGTAGATTCGCGATCCATTCGATTTCATCTATGATGTATCTATATTGAAACAAATATTCATATTGTTGTTTTCATCAACTACTCTCCCCCGATCACTTCTATAGATACATGAATGAAATGAATACATTCATAAATAATATGTAAATAGGCTAGCCAGGCACTGCCCGAGATGAATTATATACTTATTAATCAAATTTTAGAATCCCATATCCCGATTCCCTACATTCTAAAGCTTATAAAAAATATAATTTGAAACCGAAGTCCGGTAATTAAATGAAGACCTGTTGCAATCCACACTTATCATAGAACTCGTATCAAGTTCCAGTTTGAATTTCCATTAAAACAATAGTTCCGTATTCTTTAATGCAATCAATATCAATCAAATCAAAAATTACATTTCTTCTTTTCTAAATTTGCCCTGTCCCTCCCCGGTTCGATGTGCCGCCCAATTCCACTATTAAAAATAAAATTCTCTGTATAGGTGATATCCCGACACGATATGTATATTGTGGATGAGACCGTATGTTTGCACATATGTTCACGGAGTCATGCTTCAAATGAAGAAATAAACAAATTAACACCGATGCATAAATTATGATTATTAGCCTGGATAGTTACTAAAAATTTTAAGACATGTTTGTGCCTCATGCAAGCGTAGTATGAAGGTTAATACCGATAAACACCTTTGTTAATGATTGCAGATTTATAGAACGCTCTGTTGAAACGAATGAGCCAAGCACAACGGATAGAAATGGTGAAGCCCATAGGAACGTTTCGATAGCGTGGGTGCGATTATATTTATGTCGGCCGAGAGCATCGCATAGGACACATCATCATTGTTACTAAAGGCGGAATCAATATAGGCCCTAAAATTTGTGCCTCGGTCGGTTCTTCAGAGGTTTCTGTCAGCCAGTGTCAGGCATGCACGATCTTCAGTTATGCATGATCTGCAGTTCCGTAGACGCGGGTGGCGAGAAGTGACGGTTGCTCGGAATTTCGATTCATCGATACAATTACGACGTCTGCAGATATAAGTGCATCAAGAATCTACAAGCTAATTCATAAAGGGCCAACATCGACATCACGGCAACGCTGCTCGTGGCCAGCAATATCTACGACCATGCTGGCCGTTCTAGACATGCATAGAGACAGTAGACGGAGCGACTGCGAGGTACGACCTCAGTAATTCGGGGCTCCATTGCCGTGGCAGTAATACGGTTTCTGGGGTTGGGAATAATACTGCCCATGGTTGAACTAGTTTAAGGTTGACCCATCAGAAGCCCATTTTTGCGGATGTAGCTTCTTGTTCGCCTGTGACGTCACTGATCTCAGTGACGTCACGGGCATTAACCAATCACCGAAATGCGATCAAACCAGTCAACCAATCCGTCATGGAAATGATCTCAGTGACGTCACGGGCATTAACCAATCACCGAAATGCGATCAAACCAGTCAACCAATCCGTCATGGGAATGACGGGTTTGTTTACGTTTCTCGATCAACGTGACGTAACAAGAAAGCTGAATTGAAAGACGGAACTTCTCGTGGGTCAACCTTATATAGTTCAACCATGAATACTGCCATCATTATGGACGAGGTCGTTTTGATCGATTCGGTCGCGGCTTGTTGACTGAACGATTTTTTTCTATTGGATCGCGTAGGCCGTAGCGAGTGACTGAATATTGATTATAACGTTGAAATAGAAAATTAGGAGACATGCCTTCGCGAAAGAAACATCATACATTATTATGGGAAAGACATTAGTAGTAAAATTTACTGCATAATTAACTTGGAATTAGAGGATTGTTCATTTATCGGTACTTTCGTACACGAGCAATTTTTGCTTATATGGATTCTACCTGTATTTACTAAAGCAACGTTTGATTTTTCTCACAGTTTGCTAGTTGCGGTGCTAAATTCCAAGCGAGCCCTAATTTAAACAGGCCGATTGACCGCCTCGGGCAAACTGCGCTACCCAATTAAACAACAGATTTGATGCACTAAAACTCAAGAGTAATTTACAGCAAAAGAAATGAAATCAATGTAAAACCAAATTCTAAAATATCTACTTATAGCTTTACCTAATTCCCTGGACGTTCGCTCCCTCAGCAGTTCTCTCCTGTGGGATGCAAGCAAAGAATTGAGTTTTGCTTTTATTTGTTCACGAGGAACTTTCATTTCTGCGGCAATCTCTTCCCAAGCTTCATTTTTCTTTGATTTACTGTATAGGTATTTGTGGCCGGTTTGCCAAAGCTGTGGCTTATTTTCGAACAACCTAATTAACTCAAGACATTTTCCTCTATCCCACTCCATTATGGAAATACATAACACACGAAATTTTAATAAGTTAAAAAAGAAAATAACCAAATCATATTCTCTTTTCAGTTTAAACGGTCGCCCGAGTTACGTCACGCTGCATACCGCTCACACTGGAAGATTTGCGAACACTGAACACCAAGAGCATTCGGCGTTCGTCGGTTGGACCGTTGGAGCAACGCTACATAACATTCTAGAATCTAGAACATTGTTCACAAACAATGTATGAAGAGGTCAAGTGTTTCCCACTACCGCCATCTGGCTCGCCTACGTATCAGACTTTGCTCGAGCAGCTCGACTGTACCCGAGAACGAGCAAGGTCTTCGGATATGAGGTTAACGTGAGATTATTTCAAATTAAAATGCATAATTTGCCGTTTGTGACACGAATGTATCACATCGTATTAACCAGAGTTACAATACTTATATTTGAAATGAAAGGCAGGGCTGGTTCACGGCCAGCGTTCATCATATATGGAGGCAACAAACTTCTGCTGAATCAATTATGTATTATTGATGCTCATACACAGGCTGGTTGGCTTAGTTAAACAGGCACCGTTGAGTATTAATGCCTATGTTTAGAAACAAAATGTAAGGAGAAATGCCAACACCTTATTTATTTATTGATCGAGAAACTGCTGCGCAGACATGTCACCACGTAATATGTTGTGGTTGGTTGAAAATCAGTCGATCATACCTAAAATAAATTAGCATCTTCGTCTACAATTAATACTCATTATAAACAATATAAAATGATGATTATCAAGTGATTTTTCTAACAAAGTAATCTGAACAGAGAAAAGTTTCCATATTTCTCTCATCATTGTGCATTTAGAAATGCACAGAGCCGTTATATGAATGGTCGATTTCAAGCTCAAGATTGAGTGGTAAATAAAGATTTTCTACATTTTCTGTGCAGACTGCATTGAAGGTTAGTCCATCTCATAGATAGGGGAATACCCGATGTTAGGATGAGAATAATTCTTTATAAATTATTTATTATGCGCTTCTCGAATTTCAGTCATATGTAAAGAATTCAAAATGAATGAGCAGCGTTATACAGATATTAATTTTATTATGAGGAAGTGAAATGTAATAAATTCTTGAATCCAATAGTCTTCCGGTCTTCCCCTATCAAATATTGGACTCACCGTTCAAGTGGGCGGAGCTTCTGACTGATATTGACCAGTGATGTTGTTTGGCGCATATTTTTAAAGCACCTAAAAGAGTTGGATGAACGAACTGCACGGCTAAGCAATACTAAGGTATATAAATCACGAAACAATACGGTACTATATATACTATATCACTATTATAGGTAAATAATATTCGTTAAAAAATAACTTTTTAAAGACAACACTTCTAAAGAATCCAGTGTCCTAATGAATTTACAATTTTATTTTCGAAAATTAAAAAAATTATTTTTTTATAAATAAATAAAAACTAAATTTTCAAGATATGTATTCTGTCAATTTATTCATGTATTGTCTCCGACTTTACGCAAGTGTTCAAAATTTCAGATCGATTGGACAGGTATAAGTGTGTTACCTAAATACCAATTTTATAAGATTTGTTGCAGAGAAAATTATTTTTTCCAATTTAATTTTTACAATTATTTATTCTGTCAATTGATTCATGTATTGTCTCCGACTTTACGCAAGTTTGCAAAATATACCACAAATATTTGCGAATGTGAGTAAGAAACTAAATTAAAGAAGTTTCAGGCGATGGTGTGGATTAAGTACAGAGTCAGCCTTTTATCGTAGCGGTTTCTTCGGACAAATTCATCGTAATGTGAAAACGTGAATTAACTACAGGGTGTGCAGTATATGCTACATTCTTAGAAGACAGTTTGCAAGAATTTCAGAGGACTGAAGTGTTTTTTTTTTTGTAACATTTCGCATAATTTTTTCTTGTCTGACCAATCGATGTGGACCATATTTCTGATTTCATCCACAAATGACCAATCTTGAGTTGTGTCATGACCTAATGTCACGAAAGTTGGTTCTACAGCCTACTGGACATATATAATAATATATTCCATAACACCGGCTATAACACAACTAATTGAAACTAATTACTTGCAGATGCCAACACTGCCAATGGTATAAGGCTAGCTAATATTGGTCACTGAAATATGGGTTTGGGAGTCTAGACTGCAATTTATTTCAGATAAAAATGGTTAAAGCGAATTTAGCGCTGAAGTGTTCGACAGGCAATCAGGATTTGTTGGTTCAATGTTCCATAAGACAAAGGAATCCTTGCAAAATTACTCAGGAATTTTTAATATTTTGTTCAATAAATGTCTTCACCGATGTTATTTACTTATTTTATACATTATTGTGTGAGAAAGGCACGTATAATTCATTGCTTGTAAAATAATTAGCCGGATTTGGTAACAACAAGAAAACACTGAATGACAGTCACCCTCTTAGTAGTAACTTTGATGACTGACTGACTGACTCTGACAATACTTCTGAAGCTCTTGCTCTGTCAACAGCAAAAAAGTTTCTTGTAGTAACCCCTCTATAGTTGATGGAAAATGTGATTGAAGGTCATTGGCTGCTGCAACCAGCGGCAGTACAGATGCAAGGGCCAATGTTGACTCCTGGCTAAACCTGATAAAGCTACAAATAATGAAGGATTTAGGTTATAGTCTTATAGACGAGAAAATTATGGTTGTTTCATGTACATTATAAGTTGGCAACTTTTTACTTATATTTAAATTAAAAATAGAGTGGGAAAACGTTACTAGTCTTGCAGTGTGCAAGGCATGCTTACATGCAACAGAAACGCAGCAGGAAGAGGAAATGCGAATGGATTTGAACGCTGAAAGCGAAATTTTAAAAATCAATAAGTATTTAATAATAGTTTCACACAGATATCTTTGTATTACTTATCTTCTGCATTATCATTGGATGTCATAGCTAGAGGGAAGAACTGCAGCAGGATTTGCCAGTCCGGTGGCCCTGCAAGGCTGCATTTGTGCGACCTTCGCAACGAAGGCAAAGCGGTGTTTGGCTTCGGTGTAATGCAGCTGCCTCGTGATCACTACAAAACAATTATTTAACTCGTTTAGGGTATTCTAGACGCCCCTGATCAAGTCAAAATTAGAGTAGGTACTTGTGACACAGCTTTTTAGTTAGTATTTGAATAATTTTATGCCTGGTAAGCACTGTAATCGTTAAAAAATTGCAACTCAAGGTCATTTGGAGCTATGGACGTTAGAATTCATCATCCTTCAGAAGACCTCCGTAAAACACACCATAACAGGACATGCAGCTCAATATTAGTCCCGTACAGTGCATTTTAGCGATGGACCTTCAACGTGCAGCCGAATTCCTTGAGTTGCGTGCCCATTTTTCAGGATATTCGCGTTTTCAAGGCTGACATCATGCGCCGAGCAGGGCAAGTTAGCTCATCGGGTTGCTAGGCTCCGTTCGTCAAGGGTAAACATGGCGGAAGTTTAGTGGGAATAACGGCATCGAGGACGACTGTGCATTGCCAGATGTGAGTGACGGCACGTTCACGTTTAGTCAGATGTCATTTTATCGTGACATTGAAGTCTGATGCCATAAAAGATATACACTGCCTGACGTAGAGATACGGATCATAATCGCGTTAAGACAGAGGCTTTGTCGCACAGAGGCTGAATCGAACAGACTGTGAAGTGCGAACAGAGAGATGAGTTTTATATGATATTTTAATGCACGATTCAAAAACGACAACTCATTCTAAAGGTATTGATTATTCAGGCTAATTGAAAATTTCGATGATAGTTCGAGAAAAAATTAGGGAGAAGGTGACAACACCGAATCTATTTATAATAGTATTTTACACTTTGATTTTCCCCAATGTTCTGTGCAAAAGAAACTCGATAAATTCGTCAATCTTATAAAATTAAATTAAAAATATAACCTAAACTCGGAAACACTCTATGTTGAAAATTACAATAAAATGAGAGTAGACACATTTCCTTCGGATTATAGCATTTAAAAAAAGTTAAAAGCAGAGTAACGTATGAAATATGAGTAGTAGCACACAACAACGCTTCCGCGACGTCCGCTTGGCGGAAGTAGGAAGTGCGGCTATGACATAACACGCCGGCGTTCAGTTAACTTCCGTGTTTCCATTCATGAGGGCGGCGGTCTGGACAAGTGATCCCATTGGTTAATGATGGACTCGCCTTCATAGGGGAAGAATCATTTGGAAATAAATTCGTTATTAATTAACGCTACGTTCATGGTTGAAATGGAACTTTAAACATAACCTTAACACTTTTAAGTATATTTGCATGAAAATTGCCCTAATGCTTTTAGGTTTTTTCTTAATATAACAAATTGTAAGTGGACTCGCCCAAAACGGGGAAGACATAACGCGGCCAGCAGACAGGCGGCAATTTTGAATTGAATACCACCGGCACCTAGCGGAAAGAAAAATTAAATTATTATTCAGTACCTTCTGTATTCATGATAAATAGTTGAGTTCCTCATCAAGCGTGTAAAGTATATTAGTGAACATTCTCATAATTTGACCTTTCTCAGAGCTCAATTTTATCATTTGGTGACTCGACATGACAACCATGAGTCATGCTGTCCAGCTATTATAAGTAACCAATACTCCACTAATTGATAATTAATTATAAGTAAGCAATCAATAATGCACTGACGATCAAATCTTGACGTGCAATCATCAATTCACAAGCATTGATGCATTAAATATATTAGCTGATTGCTAGTCCGCCAGCATTCTTGGAATGCTACATGGCTGATAAATTAACTTCAAATGATATGGATGTCGATTAGTCAAGCTATAGTTTATTTAAAGAATTTCTTTTGGGTTGATGTCGTCGTTACACTGAATCAAAACGTAAGAGAACTCTGCATGGAATCGACTGGATTTGCAAATGATAAAATGTTCAAAATTCGCGTCCGATTTGGATCAGTATCAATATTTTGTCCATTATGAATTTTTTGTTAACTAAGTTTTAAAGTTAGTTGTTAAAAGCCCGCATAGAAGTAAATGAGCTTTGTTATTAACATCGAAATAAAGCTTTACTTGCGATTTAGGGAAATTTGACGTACGAAGGACAGGTATTACAGTATGTATCATGAGTATATATAATACAGTACGAAATGGCAGATATTAAAGAAAACGCCCTGGCATCAACATACAAATAACATGATATGTATATCTGAATATAAATCAAAGAATTATAAATAATTCCTTGCAGGGAAGAATGGGGGAGTAACCATAATGGACTCCTCCAGTGTGAGGGCGAAGACCTTGCGACTGCCGAGCGCGCGTACAAACAAACGCACGCAAGCTACCATCCTACGGACTCCTTGGGATCCTGCGAATCCTAGCAGCTTCATGTCGAATTTTTTGCCTTTCCGCTTACATTCAGTACAAGATTTTAATTTTAAATTTATTCCCGAGCAATCTAGCTGCATTTAATTGCGCGGTCGAATTTTTAAATTCAAATGCGAAGGGAAATACAATTTAAAATTAAAATATTTTCCATGAATATTTGATTTCAGTTTTCAAAATTTTGGCGTGCCTGACGTGACCGTCGGCGAAGGTTGGTGTCCTTAGCTCGATTTCCGACTTTTGAGAAATTATGCTATTTAATAATTTGTCTTCGATTTGCAAACAACTTTATTATCTGTAGCCTCTTATTAACTTTGGCAATGAGTAGGGATAACACACTTTGCTATGTAGGAAGAATTAATGTTATTTCGTGTAGACAATATTATGGGGATTTGAATTTGATGTTAGTTATTCGCGTTAAAAGGTTCGAAAATTGCACAGTTAAGTGAATATTAATCGAAAATAAAAGAAATAATGAAAAAATTAGAATTAAACTTTAAATTATTTTTGAATTGCTTTCAGCTGATGATATGATGAAGTTTCTACTAAGGACTATCTGATAAATAGCTCATAGAAAAATATTACGGGTCCATAACGTCTTTGCTAACATGAAAAAGTTTGCAATTATTTTTTCGGCGGTGGAATTACCTATAAAAAATAGAAGAGCTTGTGAATAACAAAACTGATGTCTACTCTTGACTGATGTCTAGTTTTACTCTTGACTGATGTTTACTCTACTGATGTCTAGTTTCTGGTCAGAATCGGCAAGGAGGCCGGGCGGTTAAGCACAGCAGAATTCTATCAGTGTGTTGCGAGTTCGAGACCTCAAAATGCTGTGATTGTTCTGCGATGCAGTTGAGTTCTGGCAGTGATCGAGGACGCACGTAGTGTTTGCGGGTCCCAACTTTCTCACTTTTTACTATGCCGGTTTGACTTATCTCGCGAATTTTGTATAACTATCGCCAGTCATGAAAAGATCCGGTCAAATGACACGAGTTTCGATCTATGAACAAGGCACGAAATGGAAAAGAATCGGCGACAGGCCACATCAGGCCTACACTTCAGAGCCGACATCACTATGTTATGTTATGTTATGTTAAGAATCGGCGACAGGCCTACGGCCTAATAAACGCTGAAACCGCTATTTATTTATTTGACTCCTATACATTTTATCTATTTCATGTCATCACATCTATGTCATAAGGTATTAATAGACATGACATTCTTATTATTAATTTCATTTTAAAACCATCGTCCTTTAGAAAATGTAAACAAAGAAGTTTGTAGAAGTGCATTTAATGCATACCATTGATACCAAGATCCTTGTAGAAATTTAATGGTATGTTCCAGCCGCTACAGATTACATTTCCACCAAGAACATCTCCGCAACCAAAGGATTCAAGATACGGAATCTGAGTAATGCATATATACTGCAGTTTCCGTCAATAACTCAGACGAAAAAAACCTGAACGTCCGAGCAACCAACAAGAGATGCAAGCAAGTGCACTGGTTTAGGTGCCAATGTTTCAGGGTGACGCTAAAAATAAATTATAATTACTAACCGAGCATTTTGTTGTCAGAGCATTTGCAGGCAAGACGCTTAGTCGTGAGCCATTATTGACGTGAATGCTACACTCAATTGCAAACTAATGGACAAAGTTATGCATTTTCTACTTGATGCTGCTGCCAGATCTTCGTCCATTTACTCTTCATAATAAAACGAAATTAAAAATTCAGCTTATAATCCTTGGTTCCGGATACATTTATTCTTCAGCTTAAAATAAATCTACAGTACACAGTTGCAAGAAAATTTACCATAAAAAACGATTCAGTGTAATGAAAAACCGCTTTAAAAATCGACAAACATAAGAAAATTATGCCCGAAAATCAACTAAGAATAGAGAGAACTGAGCTCGAAGAAATATTCATTACAACACTGCTCTTTAACTTCACTTCTTGTTGTTTTTTGCCTGTCTGCCACAAATCTTATAATCGATATTTAACACACTTCTACCTTTCCAATCGATCAGAAATTTTACACACTTGCGTAAAGTTAGAGACAATGCATGAATCAATTGACAAAATATATAATTTAAATTTTTTTACTGTGAAAAATTAAAAAAAATTCGTCTTCTACAAATCTTACAATCGATATTCAACACGCTTCTAGCTGTCCATTCGATCTAAAATTTTGCATACTTGCGTAAAGTTGGAGACAATGCATGAATCAATTGACAGAATGAATAATTTTGAAAATCTATAATATTTTCATATAGTAAAAATATTTAAAAATTATTGTTTTTATTTGAAAATAAAATTAGAAATACATTGTACATGCTTAACATCAAAGACACAGGATTCTTTATAAGGCCAAATATTAGTTACAAACAAGAGTGTCTAATTTAAACATAATACAATAATAATACTAATTCAAGTTCTAGGCACTCCTTACATTCACTATTAAATATGGGCACACTCTTGCCTCATGTTCAATTCGAGATTTTGCGATAGCAGGCGATTATTTTTCGACTCTGATCTGTCTGAGAGCTTCCTAGGTTTCATTAACTTCATCAGCAGCAACACGCGGATCATTTACGTTTTGAAATTTTCGAAGTTACCAATGATGATGTTTTACTTCTTTTGGCTTTAATTGCCTCAAGCTGTTTTTAGAGCATTTTCTCATATATTGAAAAAATGCCCTATTGTGCTCGTCATGTCCGTCCGTGTGTCCGTGACTTCACGTTTTCGTCGACGAGAAAATGAGCTCTCTGTCACTCACTGCAGTGAGTACTGAGTTATATTTTTTCTTCATTTCGCAGTTTGCTGTGGCAAACGTCAACTTCGACTATAAAATTTTGATCTCTTTCTCCAGATTTGGGCTTTGTGCGTTCGCTCAGTCATCGCCGATCAACAGGAGCAGTGTCGTTTCTTTGGCGATTCTCACCGCCTGCAAAGTTTCTTGAGCGTCTTTCATTGATTACACCGCTATCTGCACCTCAAGCGTCACTCGCTGGTCATTTCGTTGATTTTCAGCTTCTTCGAATCGCAAACTTTCTTGTTCGAGGGCTAAAGCCTCCTCCAAAGACTCTAGTTCCTTTCTTCGACTAACTGCATCTTGTATAAACTTCATTTTGAATTTTTCGCTTCCCGAGTTCAAGGCGATTCTCAGCGACAATGGATACATTTCGTTATTAAGTAATTTCTTGGAGCTTATAAATCTACAAAACATGAACAGTAGTCACGAGCAGCAACGACAGTCGGCCGTGCTGAGTTTAATTGCTCTTATTTCCTTAATTCTAGTGTTCCACAAAAATTTTAATACTGCAGCAATAGTCTATGAGTGTGGTTATTTTCCACTTTAACAACGATAAAAATATCTTAGGAATGCCATAACAAACTATAAGGCACAACTTATCACAGCTCCAAAACGCGGCTACGAATAGCCAATATCATAGCGAAAATTTCACATGCCGTGAAGAAATAGTGCATCCTAGTTAATTGTACAAATTATTCGTAAATTCTTTAAGTATGCAGACCTAAGATGAACATTGGTCACGACACGCTGAATAACACAAAATTAAAAAAAAAGCTTGTATTGCCTTGGCTAGGCCCTGCAGCGGAGCGCACGGCAGTTACTTCCTATGAACAAGTTTTTCATATAATTCGTCAGCAATATATTTACCAGGGATATATCACCAGTATATAAAAACACGTATGTATCTAAACCAAGCACCCAGCATTAGAAACTAAGAAAAAATCTTAAAAGATACGGAGATTCTTCAAGAAACATTAGAGATTTCACAGAGCAAACATTTCTTCACTTCATTTCGTAGAATATTTTAGTTCCTGATATTTTTGCGTCAGGATAAAAGTAGACATATGAAATATTAATTATTTGACAGTTAAATACGTATTCTAGTTGTCCGCAGTTATATGTGTAAAAAAATTTGTATCACATGTGGGCGAATGGTTAACAAGGGACGAATTAACGCACTTCAAAAATAAATTCTGTGAAAAAGTAAGAAATATTTGATGATAGTCAGCAGCAAAAAAGGCAACATTGCAGCACAACGATGAGCGGCGGCAGAGTATCCACTTGAGCGTAAGGCCAGCTGGACGGTGAATCTTATCCAGTTACACTGCACCGCTTATACTGGAACAAAAATATAAACTTGATCAATGAAATAAGATTTGGCGACTACTTTTACATGTTAACAACTGATGAGCCAGTTTTTTAGAAGTTGCATCAATCACTATCGCTGCAATGAATAGGCTTTTCACAAGGAGAGAGAATCAAAGGATTAATGATAATATGAATGGATTATTAGTATAAATATGAATGAATTTTTAATATAAAATCTCTGTGATATCGCGAAACTGGGTATTTATACATAGGTATGTACTTTCCTAGCATTTATTGCACTAAATAAAATATGCGCGTGATTCAAAATGGTAATTTGCCTAAGCATATTCAATATACCTACACAGCTCAATTCTCACCGCTTTTTGTGGATCCTGATGAATGCCATTCGCTGAACTTGGGCTGCACAATATTCAAGTTTATTAATCATCATATAAAAACTAGACTAAAAAAAAAATCATGTTGATTTTTCATATATAATAGAATATTTTTTTGGTTCCCTCTAGAATTGATTTAGCTGAAAACTTCACTCAGATGTTATAAATACACAATACAAATTCGCTCATGCGAAATAAAGCTGCTAAACATAATTAGTGAGAACAATGATATTGATGGTCTTCTTACGCCTTTGTAAGCGCTGGTTTTCGCAACGATGCCGAGCTCGATCATAGCGTAGGCCATGTCAAGGATAGAGTCTTTCTGGGGCGTGGGTTCAATGCCCAGCACGTTCTTCATCTTGAACAAAATTCATGATCACATTTAGCGCTTTCTTGGGTATCTCAACATCTCTACTCATCACTGTATCATGTTATGAGAAGTTCAATTAAATTATAATCATCAAGTAAGGTCGCTACAGGCCGACATGACCAGCTCAATGCTACAACATATTGTTATGAGACAAGTGAAGATTGCTCTTACTCTGGAGTTATCTATGTCGAACATAACCCCAAGGCGTGGATAGACTTGCTTCCTGATTCTTTCATTGAAAATCGAGGCGAACCAGATAACAAAGTTTGGCAATTCTCTGGTGCTAACTTTGTAGTTCTGAGGTTTGAACTCGTCCGCAAGTATTTGGTTCATATCTTTCATCCAGATTCCTCCAGAAGAAATAATGTGACGTTTGCCAACTGCTTCGGGGTTTGTCAAGCACTGAAATATGACACACATTTGATCAGAGAATCATGTAGCAAATCCTCTACAATTATTAGATAATTTTAAATGTTTTCATTTCATTGTTAAACTCAGGATTCTTGAGATAATACCTTGCTAATTCATCTATTAATATATATGCATACGTCTTGATTACCCATAATTTCTAGTTTTTTTTATATTCATTTATCTGCATTCTGATGATTAAATTAATTAAATCCAAAAATTAAATGATCCCCAATTAAATTGCTCACCTTGAGATGCGCTAGAGCAACGTCCCTCACATCACAAATACGGAAGCACAGTTTGGGAGAGCCAGGCACCTTGGCCATGATGGCGTCCCTCAGGATGATCACTGATGTAGCAGACTTGTTAGACTCCACGAGAGGCGGGCCCATCACCAGCACAGGGTTCACCGTAGACAGTTCAAACCGTTGACCCTCTAAAACAATAAGATTGTTTTTAGAAATAAAAATATATAACTACCAAATGAGGTTGTTAGATTCAACTAGAGGCAGTCCCAACACCAGCACAGGGTTAACCATTGAAAGTTCAAACCGCTGATTTTCTACTTTTGACAAGTATGCAAGGTAACCAGCATCAGATGTGTGCAAATTTACAGCGCATATCAATCCCTACAAATCAAATCTTTCTAGATCTGAATATTGAAGGCTGAAAACCTCCCATTTTGGCTGCTATTTCAAGAATTTGCGAATGTAATTAATGCTAAAAATATCTGTCCTCTCCCTGCATTGCTGTAATGATATCATGTTCAATGTACAACATAGTTAGTGACTCGGTTTTCAATAGACAGTCAAAAGTTAATAAAAAATCAGTCATGATTTTTAGTACCAAAAAAATCAGCCATGATTTTAGTACTAAAATATCTGTAATTTAAATACTAATTATAGTGATTAAAATCTAATAAGGATTGAAGACTCTACATACATGATTAAAAAAAATCATAACAGCAGAAGAGGAGATTTGTGAAGGAATTAATTTATAAACTGACTTGTATTAGCTACAAAAGCGAATATTATGGAGCTCACCAGGTAATGACTCAAGCAAGTCCCATGCTGCTCTTTCTGCAAGAGTTTTTGACTTGGGATAAGATGTGATAGCTGGGTTGCTGGTGTCAGTCCAGTCTTCTTCATCAAACTTCTTACTTGGGTCAGTAGAAGCGGGATCAGCAGATGAAAAAATGAAAATATATGAAATAACCTCAAGTATTGAACATAATACTAAGCAGGGCAAAGTAGGCTATTCTGTTGCTATAAAAATATGTGGAACAAGATTTCTAGTTATTTTTTGGAATTATGTCGCTTTAAGTTTTCACTCAGTTTCTAACTCAGTCTCTAACAATTCACATACCAACTACAGCACTGCATGAAGATGTGACAACAACTTTTTTGACACCAGCTTTAGCTGCAGCACTCAGAACGCGCTTGGTTCCTTCAACTGCTGGTATGACTAAACTCTGCTCGGATGGTGACTCCTCCAAAGAAGGAAATGGACTGGCAGTGTGCATCACTGCATACACACCTTCCATGGCTCTGGAAACACAAACTAGATTTAGAGGTTAACATTTATTTGAGGGTCTTGAATGTATATTGAGTATATGATGATGAGACAAATGATTAGTGTAGAAGTTATGAAAATAGAATATTATTTCTTGGCATTTCTACATCATGAAGCCTGATAGCCTATCATAGCTTAATCTAAAGCAATCCTGTTTGCATAAACTAGAAACTCACTTATCCCAGCCATCATCACTCTCCAAATCTGCTTCTGTTAATTCCAAAGGGTGCTTGGGGTTAGAAACCAGCATTTTGAGAGGGTCAACACGAGATGAGTTCTTCAGACTACGAACCGTGCCTCTGACACGATAGCCTGTCTCCTGCAGCAGCTTTACCACATGGCAGGCAATGTAGCCACTTGCCCCAGTCACAAGAACCACTGAAAAAATTAAATGAAGATAAAAGATATAGTCACATCATTTAGTAGAATATATATGATGAAAAATCTATATCCAGAGATAAAGGAAATAAAAGGTACCGTACAGCACAAATTCTAAAAAAATACAATGGCAGTCAATGCCACAGTAGTTAATATCCTCCATAAGTAAACATTTATCTAATTGAAAAATTTAGCTTTGCAGTAGTAATACAAGAGCTCTGAAATTTTCATTGCCCAAATGCAACAAAATGTAGAAATTTCTGATCAGTATAATAATTTTAATAGCAAGTAGGCAAGGTGAAGGAGAACAATACTGGATAATTGCTCATTATTGATGCTATTCAAAACAGGATAATTGCATAATATAATGCAGTAGTACTTTAAATAATAATATTAATAAAATCATATACTCAAATAACTTACTTTGATCAGACATTCTGGAATTAGGATGAACTTTGAAATAAGAAAAAAATTTTTGCTGCAAAGGAAATTCATCTGAGAATTAAGAGCAATTATTTCCACACTAATAATACCTATGTGGAAGGACAGATTAAAATCAAACCCTTATTTTTAGTCCAACTAACACTTCCTTCCTCATTGCACAACACCTCACAGTTCAGCCACTAAGAATTCAAGAAACTATTTTCCAGGTCCTTGTAGTATCTGAGATGAAGTTGATAAGTATCAGGGTTCAGGGATACACATTACACACTCATGAACAAATACAAACAGCCTCTATGAACATGGGTTCAACAAAATAAGGGAAACACCTTATGAATACACAAAGTATATTTTTAAAGAATTTTAGCCTATTATTCAACTACACCCTCTTTTACCCTCTTTCAGTTTATCCCAGTTTAACCCTATTTTGGCCTTTTTAGCACATTTTCTCATTTATGAAAAAAAGGCACTAGGTATTGTGCTCGTCTGAGCCTCGTCATGTCCCATCGTGACTTGTCTGTCTGTCCGTCTCTTCGTGACTTGTCTGTCTGTCCATCCATTCGTGACTTGTGCTCTCTGTCACTCAATGTAGTCAGTACTGAGTTATAGGGTAAATGCGGTATATTCTGACATTGTGGATAATTCCGACACTTCTCAAATTTTTCCATTATATTAAGCTTTGTCTTTGTTTCACGCATTCATTGATGGTTGAAATAGTGACATCATACTATTGCGCACCATACTAAAGCCAAAACACTAGGTCTGGGCCGTCTGGCGGGAAAATGTTAAGATCCAAAGAGAGACAGTGCACGTCACCCAGTGAAAACATCGAAAAATGTGTCAAAGTTGATAGTAGACCTTGCTCTACTAAATAGTGATAAACTGTTTGTGTAGAAAGAATATTATGGTTTGAGACTTTTAAATAAGTCTGTGAATATATTAGGAATTCTTTAAGTATACTTGTATTTGCTGATTTCAAGTGGTAAATAAATTAATAGATGATTAATTTGAAAGACGGTTTTAGACACATAAAAACTAATTCCGACACAGCTTGGAATTAGACACACACATCTTGTTCCGAGCTGTGTGCAAAAATTAAAATTTTCTTAATTTAAAACTTAATAGCTCTTAATTAAAAGCCTAATTAAGTAGTGTTCAATATTCAATAGTGTTCTAATTCCGAGTTGTGTCATATTCCAATACAGCGATCGGAATTCAAACACAAGAGGGTTGGAATTACGAATTAGTAGAGTTTGAAGTTCGGCCGAAATTAGTCTCACAAAATGGCAAATTTAGTCACACACAGCATCAGACTATATGGATTTGGTAGGTTTGCATTCTAAAGGCTTTTAAATAAATATGGCAACACTTCGTGACGTTTCATTGTTGCTGGCGCGTAGTGCGGTGTTTTGAGAGTGACATAAAGCAAACAGAACTCAAGTTGCGCATACGGTGATTTTTTTATAGCCATTCATTTTTTGCTACGTCCTTAATGTGTCGGAATATACCACGTTTACCCTATTTGTTTAACCCTGTCCCAACAAAAGCCAACATACACTTGGCCAGAGGTTGAAAAAAGTTTGAACAATGATTCTTCATGGAAAATCAAACTTTCCCACTGCACAAGGGACAAATTCTGGAGGTTTTTACACTATTCAAAACACCTTAAAGCATTTGTTGACGAGATGCTTTTGAATGCGTTCTAATTTTTTAAGGGATTAGGTTTCATTATTTCATACAGTATAGTTACTTTTCAAAATCAATAATTCTTTGAGAAGTGATGTCTGGGTCCTGGGGGACTGGGGCTTTATAAACACGTCAAGTGCAGGCTGCAACACAACCCACTGGTGAGTTGCAGTGTCTTTCTTTATAGAAAAATTCCACTATTTAATTTTTTTCAATTGCATGCCCAAAAGAAATTTATGATGGCACACTTCTTTATCGAATTTTAAAAATTATGAAAAAAGGACAATTTAATTTTTGCACAGGAACCCACAAATTTTAATAATAGACCTTTCTTGTCTGCAGACTTTGTCGTTTCTTGGGCATCTGACTGTTCTGACAACCATGATGGGTACTGGGGAGTGGGTGGGTTGTGCTACATTTAACGTGTTAAATTATGCAAGATTTAGCTTATAGCATTTAGGGTTAGTTAGGTTTCATACAGCATAGTTCTCCAAAAACCATCATCTTTCAACAAGTGGCCTGCTGACTTGAAGCAGGATTGAAATTTTCCTACTTGTTTCTGAAATCTTGCGGCTACAACGTGACGATTTTGTAATACATTTGTAATCTTGCGGCCCCATCTTGCATTTTTGTTAACAATTAGATAGGAGGTAATTCATCTGGTGGAAATCTTGTGGTTCCAGAAATGGCAGGAAAGCTCTAGTTGCGGCCCTAAAGGTGGATGTTGTCCATGCTTGACTTGAAGCATAGGCAAGATACAATCACACGGATATGGTCATACAGACGGCGACAGGTTGGTAGTGGTCATCACTCATCATATTTATAACAAGGTTTTGGCATGCTATATTTAACTCTCCAATTTTTTTTAACGCATAGGTAAATGATGCAGCTGCAAGGCCATCATACACTTTGAGATACCTACTCAATACCATAAAATGAGGTAACTTAGACCGGCAGGGTAACTTAGACCACTTTTCGTTTTTTTAACAAAAACCCTCAAAACTATTGACATAGAAAAATTTTGTCAATGGGCATTAAAGGCCTAATACTGAGGCTACATAACACAATAGAAAGATTTAATAAGTTTGCATATCTAATAGGTTAAAAAATTAAAAATGTGACCCACAAAAAAAAGCTATTATTTAAAGCCTGTCAGAGTACCCCCTCAAATTTTTTATTTTTTGATTAAGACTTTGACTGCGACTTGCAAAATAGCCTGTATTCCAGTAGTGCGACTCATTCAAACTTGAATAACTTAAGTTACAGACAAAGCAGCAAGATCAGGGCTAGTGCGCTGCTCTTGTCTGAGCAAGTTCTACAAGCTTCTGACATAAAAACCGTGAGCCTCTATTGGTGCACATTGCCTGGGATGGAAACTTTCATCTTTCTAGGCAACGTGCGCCATACGAGGTACACGGCATTAATTATTCAACTACAAAACATTTTCTGTGCAAATGAAATCAGATTGTGACTGCAATAATCAAACTACAAATCATTCTGGGGTAAAATGCTGCTAAATGGGAAGTTTATAATTAATTTAGATGATTTCTTACAAAACTTCTTTAAGCAAAGCATGAAGTGGTACCAACAACTGTTCAAGATATTGGCAAAAACTGTAGCAAATGCCTGGGTGCTTGGTGAAATTGTCAGTAAAAATCGATGTGAATTGCTGAAGTCATTGAAGATTACTGAATGTATTTTCACTAGTAATAGGTCAGACACATGAAGAAATGTTTCTATAACAAATCACAATGATTTTAGATGTTGGCGCTCCAGCTCTAAAGTATTTGAAGCTGAGGATCTGAACTTCATGCCATGACGAGCTACTGATCTGAGTCTTGCTTTAACATAATTGCAAAAAAAAAGGAAGTTAGTTGATGCTAAAGTGAGATGAAAAGCTAGAAAAGTAACTATCAATTGCTAGCCCAGTACTCGGAAGCTGTGTCACTGTTTATCTTGCTTTTTACAGTGCCATTCTGTTTCTGTGTGAGCTTAGGCAACTTTTGAATGACTAATACTTATTTTTTACTGCTATACCATAAAATGGGGTAACTTAGACCGGCGGGGTAACTTAGACCACTTTTCGTTTTTTTAACAAAAGCCCCCACAACTCAAAAACTATTTGACATAGAAAAATTTTGTCAATGGGCATTAAAGGCCTAATACTGAGGCTACATAACACAATAGAAAGATTTAAAAAGTTTGCATATCTAATATCTGTCTCTTATACACATCTAGATGTGTATAAGAGACAGGTGTTTTGAGAGTCATGTGAAGGCAACAGAACTTACGTAACGCATACGGTTTTTTTATAGTTTTTCATTTCTCGATGCGTCCTTAAAGTGTCGGAATATACCGCGTTTACCCTACTAAGATTCTTATGATTCGATTGCACGACGTTCATATAGGTTTTTGAAAACATTATTGTCAATTACCCATCATATTTTCCACAAGTTTATGATCTGGCAGACTGGCTGATATTTTAAAGAGCTTTTTTTAAAAAATAAAATTTTTTAAGCATGCGCCATATATGGCGCACATCGCAGTTTGGGACATGCATGCGTGTACCATTATCCATATATGGTGCACGTTGCAGTCAAAGTGTTAAATAACTCCAGGTTCTGATGCATTGTAATAGAACTCTTCTAGTTACATATGCAAATGACAAATTTTAGGAAAGTGTCATAGTTTGCAAATGGGGGGCGGCCAGTATGGAATTCTGTATAGGTAATATATTATCATGTTAACAAAAGAAAATGTATCGAAAAATTTACCACCTTACACCTTCCACCGAAATGACAATTGATACTCAATTACTCATACTCTTACAGTACAGGGAGCTCGTCAGAAACTGCGGACACCCGGACAGCTGCACTTCCTCTAACTCGCTTGCGTGTGGTTCGAAAACTGATAAAAAGTAGGCGACTCTTCCCTCCAATACATACACTAGTCGTGTATCCATATAGACAATTTTTGTAATGAATATGTTCCAAAATAAAAATAAAAATTACGTAAACTTTCGCAGAAAATTCTCACGATTTCATTGATACCAACAAAGTTCTCGAATCCACACGGAATGATGGGATAAACTGCTAATCTTTCACGGCGTATGGCAACATTGTGTTGACTGTTGACATTAGACAAGATGGTGTCAGACACCTTGTTTTGGTCTTGTAAAGTTCAATTTCATGATAAATAGATTTGATCCACATTTCACAGTGACATTTAATTGATGGAAAATTGTTTCAAAATTTAAACACCAATTGATATGCTTCTAAATACGAATTTATTCATGTTTTCGCCCTATAATGTCGAATTTGTCTTAATAACTTCACTTCAAATCCTGAATGATTTTGTCTCCCATGGCGAGTTTTCGAACATCTTGTGTCTTTTAGAAAACGTTGGTTGTTTATAAGCAGTAATTATTTTATTTTAATGAACCAAAGAAAGTTTAGTCATCAAAATGACAAAATCATTAAATTTAAAATATTAAGTTATATGAGTGAGATCATCAATTATCAAAGAAGCTGTAAGAAAAAAATCGTTTTTTTTGATGTAAAAGAATGTTTTTAATTTAAAAGAAATGCAATACTTGATTTTCAGAAATACGATGCAAAAATTAATGATCCCTAT